TGCACGTCACTACTCTTCGGGGAGACCTTCGTGCCGTGCTCACTTGTCCAGTACGAAGGTCGGCAGGCGGCATTGTTCGTATTCTCGGTACGAGGTTTTGGTTCTTATTATGCGCTTGCCTTACCTTGCTAACGTCACTTCCACATACAGGATCTGGCAGTCAGGCAGGAAGGCCGATTTGTGCTGCGGTACCGCGTGTGCAATATCGGCGGAGAAGAAGAATGCACTCCCATCCTCGCCGAGTGCTATGGCGGCTCTTTCGAGATATTCTCCACGAAGACCTTCCCCGGGCTTCGAGCATCTACCGATCTCACCAAGGTACGGGTTGTGTTCAGTTGTACTGCACCAGTCAGAGATGCAGGTTCTCATCGCCATGTTTTCATGCAGACCCTCTCACTCAACGGCATCCGTGTTAACTCACGCTTTCGCGAGCGCAAGGTCAGGAAGAAGGCACGTCACACCTCCGATTCTCCCGCCGGCGAAACGAGCAGCGTGGCCAGGACCAGTCCAGGTTTGTCTGTGGGCCGAGCATCCGCGAAGAAGAAGTCTTCGAAGCAAACCATCCTGCCCTCTACCCAGAACCTCGGCAGGGCCTCCAGTCGGCCGCGTTCGGGGCTTTCTGATTCGTATGCACAGGCCTCGCGGGCGGCCCTTGACGCCTGGCACGAGAAAGACACGCGGGAAGCAGAGATGAGCTCCCGTAGCACGTCGCGCTCGTACAGCACGGATGCGAGCTGGCGTGATTGAGAACTTATGGCCGCATGGTACGGTTGAGGTTTCCGTGCGTCGTGTTGATCGTCATGCACCAGTGAGTATGTCTCTTCATTGCTTTCGTCTCCGTCCACCCCATGCTTCCGGTATGCGTCCGTTACTATGCTTTCCGTCGTACTATATTTTGATCAATCTGCACGTCGGATACACTTCGTGGCGCTCGCGGCTGCGGTCCCACAGGAACGCCACACCACCTGTCGCTGTTCCTGTGCGCCATGGTGTATCGTCGTGCTATCTCGAGCAAATTTGATGGTTCTGGCCTCCTTATGCTTCGGTTATATGGTGTGTTATGTGCCACGCAGTGTGAATTATGATCAAGCGTACAGATCATGCTAACATGAACAAGGCCGGAGCTCAACACAATGTAGTCAACTGAAGCAGGAACTCAAGCGAGACAACGTGCCAACTTGAAGGTCAGAAAGGGTAAAACATCATGCATCATGCCGGGAACATCAACTTTCATAACACAGATCTCAGCTTGGAGCGAAAAACAAAGGGCACCACACAGGGAACGCAGCCTCATACGTCTCAAGCTGAGCAACAATGAGCGGCTCGTGCTTGGAAATTGAAGGACTCCCATATACGAAACAGTGTCCGGTCGGCCCGGCACGCGTCACGGCTCCCATCGTTTGGACGTGCGCAACATCAGCGCCCGGAGAGGTTCGTAGTAGAACCGGACGAGCCGCCGCAGACTCGGACGAACGAGCGTCCCCGCCGCGCCGCTCTCCTCACCGCGGCCCAGCTGCACATGCGGTGCCTGTGCGATCGTGACAGAGAACAAGAGCGGCATGTTGGTGAGGTGGCGCAGCACCATGCCGGCGCCGCGGCGTACCTTGTACAGGCTGTATCGCGAGGTGAAGGTCGCGGTGCTCGAAGTCGGTACGGTGGCGGGTGTGGGGTCCGCTGAGGTCGACGCCGCCGGATGTGTCTCGGGGCCAAGTTGCGCCACTGCTGCAGCTGTACCGTCCGCAACTTCGGTGGCGTGGACCTCGACGCGTCTCAGGGCACGGAAGGACTGCATCATCATGAACAGGTCCACGTAGGACGGATGGACGTTGTACAGGGTGAGCGAGAGCGTGTGTACGTCCCGCAAGCAGAAGGAAATGAGGCCGATGTGACCCAGGTTGGGTGGCGCGTTCCGTTCTGGTGCCCAGTGCCAGTGCAGCTGGACACGGGCGGCAGTGTCTGCGAAGGTGAACCGACACGGATACCTTGCGCTGGCGGCTGAAGCATCGGGCTGTGGTGAGTCGTCTCCTGCCAGACAGGCATAGAAGACATCAGCGTGACGGATGGGGAGGAGGAGCTTCTGGAGCGCCGGGCCGTGTTGGAGCACCGGGAAGCCGGTCTCGTAGAAGTGGGCCTCGACCTTCGTGCTCTCCTTGAGCGAGTGTTGGAGCTTGTCCAGGAGCATCTCCGCCGTGTGTGTGAGCAGTCCATCCATCGTGAGCTCCTCGAGAAACGGGAGGCCGGGCTCAGCCAGGTCCTCGACGGACTCGGGGAGCACGGATGGGTATTCCCTGCTGCTGTGGACCGCGAGCGTTCTCAGCATTGGGCAGTAGTGGAGAAACTCTAGCAGTGAGCGTACGGAGACCGCCCGATTGGACGTGATGGTTATGTCCCTGAGGGATGGAAGGAACGGCATGGCCCAAGAACCTGCATGTTCACCCGGGTGAGACATGGTCGCCACGGGTGGCGGCGGAAATGGAAGCGTGGCGGGAGGCGCGATGGCCTCTCCCGGGTCCGGTCTTGGGAGGGAAGTGGCGTCGAAGTGGATGGACTCGATGCGTTCGCAGTAGTCGCGGAGCGCGTTGGCCATGGTAGACAACTCTTGCGAGTCATCCTCCCGATGCAGGAGGCACTCCTGGTTCTCAGAGTTCCGGAGAGAGCACTCCATGTAGACCAGCGGACGGTTCTTATAGTTCGGGAGGGAGACGACGCGCACCGCGTTGCCTGCGGACGCCTTGGCCATAGCCATAGCGGCGCCGTGGGTGTGGAACGTTGCCTCGGACTTCTCGCTGAGACTTCCCAACTCAGCGGAGGCGAATGGCTCTGGGGACGAGGCGTAGGCCCGCGACGCTGCGCTGGCGGGAAGTCGAGCGTCGATACCATGGGACGCATGATCGGCCTGGGGATCTTGAAGCGTTTGTTGTGGCTCGACGAACGCGGCGCCGTCAGTGGCGGCGGTGCTCTGTGGGCGACACATGGCTTCCAGATGATGAGCTTCGAGGAGATGATGATAGAGTGATATTTGTGGGACGTGTGCGGACGGAGGACGCGGAAAGGTGGTATAGGCAGGGCGTGAGCGGTAGGTGAGGTGTTAACTTCAGGTAGAGAGACGGGAGCAGGCTGCATACTCACGTCAGCTTATATAGTGCGGGCGTAACCTGCCACAATTGCGGGCATTGTGGCGTAGGCAGTTGAGGACGCCTGTGGGGCCCAACTCGACGGACAGAGCAGGTGTTTGGGAAGTGCATGGCCCAGCCTCTATACACTCCTTCCTGAAAAGGACTGACCAGTGAGATGCTATTGAACACCAGTCATTTCTGGGATGACTATTTGATGCCTGCAGGATGGGCGGTGCGATCCGCTGCATCGGAGAGCTCCGCGTTCCGTATTGCTGTACTCGGGAGAGGAGCAAGTGACGGCCGAGACGAACGTACTGAGCAGGAGAACTGAGGAAATGGGAAGAGGTCGTCAGCGGAGTTGGTCGGAGTGCCTGTGTCCCTGCTTTTTAAAGGGTCAGGAGAGTGGGACAGCATGCGGGCTTGGAATCCGCCACCGCCCTCGAGTACACGAGGTCAGGACGTGGACTGATCCCGAGCCACTCACAGCAAAGTCCCGGTCATCACGTCCTGTCATGCGCCACGAAGTGGAATCACAGAACACACCTGCAGAGACGCGAGTAAGTCGCAAAACCTATGGACGAAGACTGTACAACTTACCGCGAGCTACGGTAGCGGTCAAACAATACGCAACTGAAGAACAACAGGTGCCTGCCCTTGACGACCCGCATGAAACAACGTACCATCGTCTGTGTTGTCTGCGCGAGGCGACTGTCGCGCAGCATATCTCCGGGTGGACCCACCGACGTCCACAGAGAGCTAGTGGGAACGTTGCCGGGGTCCGTTCACAGACCAACAAATGAGGCACGGCCTCAGCCGGCAGTCGAGATAAAGGGCAACAGCAGATGCGCGTAAGGACAGCCGAGCCTGTTGTCCTCGTCCGGTATCCGGATAAGTCGGTGCCGCCACACTGCGCCTCTCGGTTTCCAGTCTTGTTGCCGGACGGCATTTGCTTGTTCAAACTTCGAGGTTTTGTTCCAGGTGAGGTATCGAGGCGACAGCGGTCCTGACGCGCCCACAGTCCCGGCGCGTGAGTATGGTCGCCGCTGATCATGAGTGGCAGGGGTCGACAACACGAGCCCTCTGCGTCCCGATATGTACTATAGCAGCGAGCTTATAGCGATACTTACGAATCGGTGACCGGTAAGAGTCCAAGGTGATAACCTCTGTGGGCAAGGTGATGGTTCACATCTGCCGGAGATCGTTGAACATACAACTTACCTATTTGGCCCATTGTGAGTAAGTATTGCTCACGTTTGCGAGATGAGATCCGTCAGATCCGATTTATGTTGGATGTGGGCTCGAAGCTGGATGAACCAGGCTCTGGCCACGCTTATGGCGCGAAGGAAAGCAGGTGGTTAGTAGCAACTGCTCTCAGAGTGTTCAGGCCTGAAGCCCGGACTGAGGCCACTAAAGCCCAGAAAAGTGAGACATTTACCCGTCCTTGCGTCCACTCGAGCCTGAAGCACAGACTTTGCATTTGCCAAAGCTCAGAGGCCGACGGAGGTCAAGAACAAACTAGTAGCAGGACCCCGGAAACCATTGGCAAGTAGGGTTAGGCGCTCGACTAATAGTACCATGACTTGGCTGAGCCGTCCACAAACAATAATGTGGTCGTACTCGGGGCCTAAAAGTACCCCAAAAATCCTGTATCTGAACTGAGAGATATGGGGCTCGGGGATCGAAAGGCCTCAAGGGTAGAGTTGCGGGTGGCAGGCTGCCAAGTCTGAATCGCACAGTTGAAGCATTTGCACAATACTTAGATCAGCGTCCAAACTAAAGCGGCTCAAGGGTACCAGGGCATGCATGATGCGATCACCTTTCAAGTGCTCGGATCACCAGGCCTGTTACGGATGAAACAAAAAAAAACAGAAACCTAATCTGACTCTCTCTGTCGGGGAGTCGAACCCCGCTTTCGCGCGGTCAGCAGACCATGACAGGCGCGTGTACTAACCGATATACTAACAGAGAGTTATTGCATTTTAGAGCATAAAGATTATGTGTATTGACGCAAAAGGGGAGTACATACTTGCATAACTTACTTGGTCGCGCTTTCAGAGACGCCTGGGACCTGGTTACAGACAGCTTGAACGAGAACAAGGAACTCGGGTTCAATCCTCCACGGCCGGACACCGTCGTTCATACACTGCGTCGTGCCCTGTGTCCACCAAGTCGCACATACAACCGAAAGCAACACACAGTAATCCCACATCGGACGAGCTCAAACCGCTAAGAGAGCCAAACGAGAGCTACAAGAAGTCCTCTAGAATAAAGATGTCTTGACTGCGCCACCTACTCGACCAGCTCTATGTCCTCGTCGTCCTCATCGTCCAGAGGTATGAACCTCTTCCCTTCAGTGCGCTGGGCAAACATCAGCATACACCACCATCAGCAGCCTGCGCAAATGGCGTACCGCGACATCTTCAGACAAGGACAGAAGAGCACGTCGATCCTTGAGGCTCATGGGCTTCCCGGCGCTCGGAGGGACACTCGGTGGCCGCATGTCAGATCGCGCAACCAAGCCTGTGGTGTTCCCTTTCGCGGTATCCAGCCTGGCCGTGGCCGTGCGGTGCAAGTAATGGCCGTTGGCAGGAGACGGCTGGGCGGTGGAACTGCGACCGAGGACGGGAAGGACAGGGGTTCCATGAGCGACATGTACCTTGGCCGCGTTGGCGAGATGCCGAGAAGATCGACGCGACTGCGGCGTTCGCCTGACTGACGGAAGGAGCGACTTCGAGCCACCAGGAGGTCCGGGAGGGGTCGTCGTATTGAATGTAGGTCCAGATATTTGCGGCAGAGCGGTGAGCGTGCGACCGCGTGTTGGGGTGCATAGGGAGCCAGAGACACTAGGGGCAGTAGTCAAGCCTGCTTGCGTCACAGCAGCATGCGCCTGATTGAAGAGCAACGATTTCTTGACATCAGTGGTCGTAGCGAAACGGTGGTTCGTGGGAAGCAGATCTGCCAGAGGACTTCGAAGAGTGTTCTTCCGTGATAAGCGAGATCGGAGGCTAGACAGTGGAATCTCCGGAGAAGGGACTTCAACCGATGCAGGTGTGGCCATTGGGGCAAGCGCAAGTTCAGGTACAGCTTGGAAGGGATCAGACGATGGATCCGAGACCTCGTCCAGACGACGCTTCTTGCGCCCCACGGGCGATGTTGCAGCACTGACTGGATCCGACGACGAACGAGAGGGTTCCCGTGTACCGGATTGCGACATGGTCTTTGGAACTAAGACAGAGGGGACAGGGAGGACCTCGCGGGCGGAGACCCGACGCTGTAGCTCAGAGATCGAGTCCTTGACTTGGTTCCGAGCATTCTCGATGTGCAGAGGAACCGACTGAAGCAGAGGTAGGACTGGCAGAAGAGCTGAGAGGATTTGACCCTGCTGATCCTGAATCGTCTGCAGGGCTTGAGATTGCGTTTGGTTGAGCTGCGAGGTAACTGTGTAAGCGCATATAGTCGGATGAAATCGCTGTGAAATTGGGTACAAACCACGTTCAGGGTGTCGATCTTCTTATCCAACGCCTCCAGTCGGGTAGCGAACGCACTGAGATCCTTGGAGACCTCCCGGACTTCCATGGTTTGCGCTGGACTTCCGATTGCCTTCTGCAATTCCGTCTGACAGCGATTGGCTAACCGCGCTCATTCAGACCCGCTTGACCTCAGGAATGTAAGGACGTACTGACCAAGACCTATCATCCTGTCTGTGAGCTGCTCATACTCGTCCTGATACAATTTCTGCACGGTGGAGAGCTCCTGCTTTGCGTTCTCGAACCCAGTGGCTAGCTGGCCGACTCGCTCGGTAAATTTCTCCAGATGTGCCTGGGTATCATGAAGGAGGATACGGGTCGAGGCTCCGGCCTTGTCGAGGGGAGCCAGAGGTGCCCCATGCCTCCCGAGCGTCGTGCTACTCGCCGCGCTAGATGTAGGAACCTGAGAGACGGTCGAGCGCATGAGATGACCCCAAAGACCTGAAGAAGACGACGGTCGTGCTGCCAAGTTAGGTCGAGTACTACCAGAGAGTGACATCGTAGCAGACAGAGTAAGTAGCAGGAGGGAGGAGGAAGGCAAGAACGGAGGCGCGCGGACGTAGCGCGGACGCGTCTCGCCACCTCTCCCGACGTCTCTTCGACACCGACTACGATCACATCCTCCACCTATCTATGCTTCGTCCGTCGACTTGACTAGTGTGAACGACGTTTACCATGGCTTTCTCGCTGTTTAGACTTGCTCGTTTCCTTCGCTCCATCTTCGTACCGACCGCGTCGATTGTCGCCTTCTCTTGCTTGCTCACCTTCATCTTCGTACTTTACCAGCCAACGCCAGGGCCGGGGAGCATACAGAAGCTGGGATGGCAGTCATGGGATGTTGTCTCTGAGGGTTCGTCGCATGTTTCAGGCGGGTCTGCTGAGGTGGAGGCCGGGAGTACTGGCAGTGAGGTCGGGAGCGTACCTGAAGGAGTGGACTGGTGGAGTGTGACGACGACGGAGAGCGTGGACACAGCAAGTCTCCCGCTAGACGTGTGGGATCCTCTCATGCAGCATGACACTGGATGTAAGTGCACTGTATTCTAGCCTGTGCTGGGCCAAGTCTGAACAGACGTAGTGTCCGAGATTCACATAACAGACTGTATGATTGACCCGTGGTTCGTGCCCTCTGTTGCTGCCGACTTCTGCTTTCCCTCGTCCACGAAGGAGGATGACGCGACGAAGGAAAGTGGGTGCGCGTCGAGCGCAACCTGAAGGAGCAATTGAGCATGAAGAGCTTGGTGGGTACCGTCTACCCGTCAACACACATATAGTCGTCTCATTTCTCCAGAATGTATACTACCGCCGAACACGGAGACACGACATCCCTCTCATCACCGAATTGCGCGTCCTTTCTGACAAGGAAACGCCCTCACCGTTCGGTCCTGCTTGGCAGAGAGTGACATACCCTATTAGCCCTCGCGGGGACAAGCGTTACCTGTGGTACAAGGCGGAGAAGACCTGGCGCGAAATGACGGAGGCAGAGCGCAAGTCCAACATTGTCACCGAGATCGACGTCCTGTTCGGTTCCGACCAGCCATGGTATGGATTCGAGAAAGTGGACCGAGCAGCGTACGACGGTATGCGAAATATCGAGCCTGTCTGGTTGACGTACCGCAAGGGCATCAAGCGTGAGTATATGTTCCTACGCACGGTTTCTCCGCTGACTCTGCCAATGCGCAGCTCCTCCCCGGGCACCCCCATTGCACTTCTCGCGAGACGGCAAGTTCAAGATCATGCAAGTCGCGGATCTGCACTACTCCGTCAGTGTCGGTTCATGCAGAGACACTACCATCTCTCCTTGCACCGCCTCCGACAACCTCACGAACACCCTCCTGGGACATGTCCTCGACATCGAGAAGCCTGACATGGTCGTCTTCACTGGCGACCAGCTGAATGGACAGGGCTTCACATGGGACGAACGTTCTGTATTGGCGAAGTTCGCGAAGGCCGTGACTGAGCGCGGAATCCCGTGGGCCGCTGTCTTCGGCAACCACGACGACGAGGACGGCATGACACGGGAGGCTCAGATCAAGTATATGCAAGGTCTTCCGTACAGTCTGGTAGAACAAGGTCCGAAGGACGTCCACGGCGTAGGCAACTACGTGCTCAAGGTCAAGAGTGCCGACCCGTCGAAGACCCACCTCTTGACGCTATACTTCCTGGACTCCGGCTCCTACTACACCGGGGTGTGGGACTGGTGGGGCATCTTCCATCCGACGGAGTACGACTACCTCCGCCAGGATCAGATCGATTGGTTCCTGCAAGAATCATGTGCGTGGTTTCAACTTCTGAGCACTGGCCCTTCCGATGCTCATTTCGAGCAGCTTCAATCGACGCCATCGAGCGACCATTCACTCCTGACGGAGCCAAGGACTTGGGCGGCATCTGGGCGCGCCAGAGCGGCCAGGTTCTTCCCGGAGACCGACGCCTTGCGAAACCTAATGCACTCATGTTCTTCCACATCCCTCTGTACGTCCTCTCTTCCGTGGCAAGCTGTCCGACACTCTGACGCGCGCGACAGGCAAGAGAGCTACTCCGCTGCTGACGTCAATCCGGCTACGGGTTTGCCCCTCGATGTCGGACAACATGACCTCGAAGAGGGTGGTGCTGCGAAGAAGCAAGATGGTTTCTTCCACAAGGGTCTCCTACAGGCGCTGGAGAGCGATCATCGCGCTGGCGGTCGTGCCACCGAAGTGAAGGTTGTTGCGAACGGCCACTGTCATGGTGCGTAGACCCGCTCTTAGGGTGTGGAGCCTGTGGGAAGAGACACTTTACGATTACCGCTTTGATTCACAGTCACGGAGAATTGCAGACGGGTTAAGGGCGTCTGGCTCTGCTTCGGCGGCGGCGGGTGCGTTACAATTTCCTAGTCTGCAGTCATTTAAAACTGCATGACGCAAAAGCCGGATGCTAACGGGTGTTCTTCCCTTTCAGCTCCTACTCAGGCTATGGCAAGATCGGCTTCGACCGGCGGTTCCGCATATACGACATCTCGGACTATGGCGAGACGATCCGGACGTACAAGCGCACAGAGCACGACGAGATCGTCGATGATATGATCCTCGCTGGCAGAGGCGCTCCGCCACCGTACGAAGGTGCGGCGTAGGTCTGGGACGGGATTTGGATAACCCGAGGATTGGATGGATGTACGATAGCGGTTGCAGGATGCACTGTCTGGTAGAGTATCGTGTGTAAGTTTTGACCTAATGCGCAGTATTACTTATCTCCTCGCGGCTCGCGCTTTGGGAGACCGTCCGTGGCTCTCGGCCACGAGGTCTTGACAGATCTTCCGTGGTACGTTGGTCATGTCGTGCTATTCGTTCGACGCCAGCTGACGCGATTGTCAGGTGTGTGCGGAATGCTTCACGCTCCTCCTTCAGGATACCAGTACTTGGATGTTCATACAAGGTAGTGAGGTTGACTCGGACGTGGCGGCCGTAC